GTTTGTACTATGAAATTTGGCTTTCACAGGAACAAAAAAGAATAGATAGAAAAAAATACAGCATAACTAATCCAAGTTAAAAAAACATTTGTTCTGTTGTATGACTTCTCCCTTCTAAAATCGCTAATTTAACTATGCTACAGCTCCTCGTGACTTTCTATAACAGAACTTACTAAAAGTGCTTTCAAGAAGGAGATGTTAGCTCTAGGTCTTTATAAGCTTATATTCATATTAAACACATAGGGGGTATGCTTACTCACGACAACAAAATGGAAAGTCAGTTGTCTCTAGAAATGGTAGACTAGATGAGTAGGCAAACCTACCTCTAGAATAAATATCCTGCTTGTAAGCAGCCTTAGTAATCAGGAATCCTGCATGCGTAATCTATGGTTCACACAAATCAAAACCACACTGTATTTATAATAGTGATACATAATAAAATTAAATCCCATTTTTCAGGGAGAACATCAGAGAGAAGTGATAGAGAGAGAAAGACAAACCGAGAGTGACAACGCTTTAAAGGAACAGTAGTAAAGCGCTCTCTGGTACAGAAGGACTGACTATTTCAACGACTAGAGCGATTCAGTGAGATGGAGATGAGAGTAACATAATCAGGATTGTGCCACCTCGACACTGTAGTAGGATGCTACCGGGAGACGGAGCCAGCTTGCTCACCTTATGTTTTCTTCTTGGGCTGCTCCTTGGCCTTCTCATCCTTCTTCTCCTTCTCCTTTTCCTTCTCCTTGTCCGAGCCGGGCGAGGTTGGTGGTGGCACGACGGTGGTGGCCGGGGGCGTCGGCTGCGCCGGCAGCGCCTTGAGGATGGCGTGCACCTCGTCCGCAACGGCCTGCAGGCAGAACTCGAACTGCTCCTTGGACTCCACCATGTTGGCGCGCTGGTCTCGGATGTGCTCCAACGTGGCCGCGATGTCAATCTCCTTGGCGCCCTTCGCCATCCGGTTCAACACCATGTCGATGAGGCTGTAGGTGCCCGTGCGGCCGGCGCCGTCACTAAAACAGACAGAGACAGAGAGAGTCAGGACTCAGGACACGGCATGGAGAGAGAGCGAGAAAGGGAGATTGCAGGCTGGCCGTCGAGCGACACTCACCTGCAGTGCACGACGATGGGGCAGGAGCGGCCGCGGTAAGACTTGTTCACTTTCCTGTAACACACGAGGCGGGTTGTTAGGTCAGGTCATACTCGCCGCAGCAGCCACAACGCGGCCCGAGGAGGTTGGGTTGCCTGCGCGCCGGGCGCGGCCCGCTCACCTGCGGAAGTCCAGGAGGGGCTTGGTGTTGGGGGGCACGCCATGGTCGGGCCAGGAGAGGAAGTGGAACTGGGTGACGGTGCGCGTCTCGCCCGTCTTGAGGTTCTTGAGGTAGAAGCTGCGCACCAGGTAGTCGTCGCACCAGATGTGTTCGCTGACGAGGTGCACCTCGTAGATGTGGTAGAGCTCGGACCCCTCCTCGGGCCAGTAGCGGTGGCACATGGCCGTGCCGTTCTCCGTCAGCCTGCTCAGCATCACCATGACCACGCTGCCCTGCTCCCACACCAGCTGCCAGAGGTCGGCGGCCGTGTGCGGCAGCGGGCCCTGCGTCGCCAGGTACGCCGGGTTCCGGGGGTCGTGGTCAGTCTGAGGCAGAAGAAACAGGCATTAGACACTGTCGTCGAGTGCCTCGAGGCACGCGAGAAATATGCTCCAAAAAATCTACAACTGAAGTCAAAGTTCGTTGAAATTTCTCATCGAAATTCGCAAATTTCAATCCGCTCAAGTCGGCCGAAATTTATAAAACTTTACCGTTTAAATTTTTTTAAACAAATTTTAGGAAGACCGAAAATAAATGCGACTAAATTAAATCCTACTGTGTGCTCCTGAGCGGAGCTCACGACCTTGACACTCACGATGGTGGAGGCGTTGATGTAGTCCGAGCCGGTGGCGTTGGCCAGTTCATTCAGCACGACGCGAGAGTGGTCGTAGGGCAGCACGTGAGGGTAATAGCGGTTCTTCTTCTGGTTCTCCGGCTGCGAAAGACAGGGTGGACGTGGTCAGGTACAACATCGGAGGTGGGAGGACGTCGGGAGGACAAAGATGACGAACAGCGGCGACACACTCACCTTCTCGGCGACGGTGGTCTCGCAGGGCTCGGCCTCGTAGGCGCACAGCCCCTGCCACTCCTGCTCCAGGCGGTCCTTGTTCTTGAGGTGGTCCTCCATGTAGGCCAGCACCATGTGGCCCGTCGAGATGTCCATGTTGGTGAGGGCGGGCTCCTCGGTCCAGGACGAGGTGGAGGAGCGCGACGAGGGCGAGTTGTTGGAGCCCTCCGACTCGCGCGACAGGCTGGCCAGGCGCGCGTCCACGTGCGTCTCGTGCTGCGCGCGCGCCTGCTCCGCCTCGGCCTTCTTGGCCATGCGCGCGCGGCACAGGTCCTGGTAGTCCTTGCTGGCCTCCGTGTCGGGCGCCGCCATGCCGCGCAGCTTCTCGCGCGACAGCTGCACCCGCCGCACTGCGTAGTACGTGACGAGCGAGATGACGGCGGCCGAGAGCGTCACGCCCAGCACCACGCTGCCGAGCAGCAGCGCGTCGCCCTCCCAGCCCTCCTCGGGCGCGGCCGCCTTCTGTACCAGAGGACTCTGGAATTAGCGGCAAACAACAAAAAAAACATAATAATGAGGGCGGTCATCGGCAGAGTAGGCAACGTTCAGCCGGCAGGCGCACAGGTGCGCGCGTGGTTGCCTAACCGCTCCACTGCAGGCGGGCGGCCGCGCCGAAGTTGCTACTCACCGGCCTACTCACCGGCTTCCCAGCGAAGGCGGACGCCACGTCCGCATTCACACGCTTCTTGATCTCCTCCTTGTTCAGCACTGATCGCGACGCGATGCGGAAGAGAAATAAAACAGCGTCACATTTCGTTCCTTCACCTTGACAATGAGACATCCAAGGAAAAGCTCGCCAAACTCACTTATCTGTCTCGCCACCTGCGGCCCGGTAAGCGTGGAGGTCGCCGGGTCCACCTTGAAGGAGACTGTTCCATCGTTGACGGTCACGCTGGAAAAAGAGCGAAGGAGAGTACTGAGTTAGACTGAGGACGGAGCGGGCCGGCCGGCTGGGCGGCGGGTGCAGGGCGCGCGGCTGGCGGGGGCTCTCTGGCGCCATGCAAGGAGGACCCCTAGGAGGTCCTCGCCCCCCTCCACGGACAGACCTGTGACGTGCGACGACAACAACATCGACGGTGCGGTGACAGTATACCAACAAGTTTAACCAGTTACCATGCGTGATTCTCCTCCTCCTCCTCCGCTGTACTGGGTAGTGTTGTTGCATACCTCGGCGGAGAGAGGGAGGGAGAGTAAGTGAGTGTGAGAGAGAGGGAGAGAGATACGGCATGGCGGTGCTGTTGCGGTGCCAAGCGGTGCGAGACAAATCATATAAAGTGAGTCGGGCAAGCTTTGTGCGTCGTGTGGGAGAGTGGAGCGAAAAAAAGAAAATGTAAATAATGAGTGACTGGCGATGGAAAGCCTCATATACAGTGTGAAGATGAGAAAAAGAATGAAGTTGGAAAAGGAGAGAGAGAGAGAGAAAAGAGAAAGAGAAAAGTGAGTAAAGAAAGCAAGGAAATGAATGGGTGAGGAATACGTGATACCAGAGTGTTAGCTGACCAGAGAATGACATGGACGCGGGGCTGACGATCTATATTTCACTGGGGCACGAGGGCGCTAGGTACGCCTAGATAAGATAGATAAGGCCTCCGTGCTGATAAGAGACACATGCAATCCCACCAAGAAAAACGTTCGATTGTAATTTGTTTAAAGTGGCGAATCGAAATAAGCTTTACAAGGAGTGTGGACGAGTCGCCAGCATGGAGTCCCACCCTTCTAACCCCTATCCAAAAGGTCAGCCAACCCCCTGGGGACACCCGCCGGGGTCACTTACCGGCGCATTCTGAAAGCCGAGGGCATCTGGTTTAGGGTTGTGGCGAGCACATTGATGAGCGCGTCACCGTGAGCCCAGGACGGGAACCTGAACGTGAACGGAACAACACGGGCGAGGCGTTTAGGATAGAGGCAGGGTTATAGTGTCGGGAGAAAGTGGCACAAAATAATGAGTTGGGAAGGGGGGGAAACACATAAAAAGGGCATTAGAATTTGCTGCAAGACCCCAAAATCCCGAGACAAAGCACAGAGAGGTGGTTGGTTTTGACTGCTTTTCAAAGCACTTTGAACAAAACGATAACTCTGTAAAAGTGAACGAAATATGCAGCGAGTGACGCAGGAGGATAACATCTGAATGAATGATGTATATTTTAACTTAATTGATTTGAACTAGTTTATTCATCGGGCGTGTGGATGCAAAACATCTCATCGCCGAAAATTCAACAAGATGTCCAGTTCCCATACCCACCCCAGGCCAGAGAGCAGTCTGGTTTGGTAACTGGACGCCTTGGTTGCGTGACTTGGCCGCACTTCCCTCCCCAGCCCGAGGGTCGCAGATGAGGAGGGTGAGATGGTGAAATGCGCTAGGGATCGCTAAGTCAGGCCAAGGGGTCGCGGCCACGCTAGAGGTCACGCTAGGCGTCACGCTAGTGGTGTTCACACGCGGCCACGCCACCAGGCGCCATGCAACTCACCCGCTCTTGAACTTGACGCTGACCACGTTGGGGTCTCGGAGCGTCTCCCCGTCCTGCGAGTCCCGGTAGTTCTTGTGCTGCATGGACACCGGCGGCGAGGCATGGATGGCCTCGAAGCGCGGCTCCCCTGCGGATACAACGGGTTTTTTAGT